TGTCGAGATACAACAAATTGCACCGAAAACATGGACTTATTAAACAAACTAGTAACAATGGAATATTTCTATATGATACCGTGCCTCATACGTTCTTCATAAACTTTTTACTATTAAAACCAGATATGTTCAAGTTTAAATATTACAAATGAAAAAGTGAGATACCTTACTTTATTACTTTGACAGTACGCCATCTTGGATATCTTTTGTTGTCAATGATATTATACTGTGTGTTTTTGCTTTTTGTTTGTTTTATTTGTAAATTTGCTTCGTGTAATGTAGCAACGATAATACTGATTTGTTTTGATTGTTGATGATAAGATTCTGTATTTATGTAAGTTACTGAAATAAACTTTTCTTCTTTTCATTATATATTGTTTTATTTCTGGAATTACATCATTCTTTAAGACTACACATCTCTGGCGTGTTAATGGTATTCCTTAAAGCGAACCACCATGACCACTTACATATCCACAAGCGGTGTATATGTCTAATAAAAAAACAAAGTGTCTGCGTCACATTATGGTTTACTCGTCGGACGAGTAGTTTAAGGATTGCTGACCATAGGGTTCAAACCCTAACAGGGTCAGGCCATTGATAGTGAAAGTGTCCGTTTTAAGCATTGAACTGGTTTCTATCTGATTTCTCTGTGGCACACAAACCTAACCGAAGGAATCAAAATGAAGTTAAGAATGGTTGTCTACATTCAATAGCTATATGTAACCATGAGCTGTAAAATCTGACAAAGATTCTTCTGTATCCATCCATGTCTCAGGGTTAGTAAATCATAATTAATATGCATTTGTTAATTGCTTATGACATTACGGAATGTAAAATCTCGGTGTTATCTATGTTTGTCAATGTCAATAGAAATTTGTTTCTGCATAGTAAGAAGCGCTTCGTCACAAATGCAAAATAACAGAATACATACGGGACTTTAAACATTGAGAAACAAATGCATGATATTAACTATTAATTACTATATACGAACGTAAGTTAGTCAAGAATAATGAAAATATACAAGAAACATATTAAGATTACAAAAAACAGTGTTTTATGCTCAGTATTTAAAGAACAATAAATTATAATTACATTAACGCCGATTGTCTATAATAAAGGGTATTCTTATGATTCTTTTGAATACTATTTTGATAAACAATTAGTGTTGGAATTAGACAAATACCTGACAATATATATATATAAAACCATAGTTACAACATCATTTGACGTTATTTGTGTACACATGTGTACGCATCGTAAAAAATGTCTACGTCATCAATTTTTGTTTAGTTTTGGTTTAAACACATCAACAAAATAAAGCTCAAACGTTGTAACTATGGTTTTAAGTTTATGTGCCCATCCTGATTATAGAAATTGGTAGGCAATAAATGAAATTTAGAAAATCCAGAGAGGATTAAAAACAAGTATACTCGTTATCTTTATAACAAAAATAATTCCCTCTAAGTCACGATTTCTTGTTTTCAAGTTTTATTGCGCATTTTATAATGCACCATTTAAACTTCTTTTACAAAATTGCACGTCGATAAACATTGTTCATTTTGAAATCGTTACAAACATTTCTGTTTTTAATAATTTGAATATTTACATAGAGGTATGTACTTGCAACAAAAAAGGACCTCAACATTATGCTATCAATTCGAATTCATCATAAAACTGTTCATTCTAAAATGTAATGCAACTTGGTTTAGCTAGACTTTAATGTTCAGCCTTTTTAAACCAATCCATATGGCATCGGGCCTGCAACCGTTGATAAAATGGCATCCGGATTTATACACCTCTTTGTTTAGATATATATAGTATCATCAGAATGACATACTCGTATTCTATCAAAATTTTAGGCAAACAATAAATTGATACAATACTGATAGACAATATGAGCCGCGTCACGACAAACTTAACATAATGGGTTTGCGGCCAGCATGGATCCAGACCAGCCTGCGCATCCGCGCAGTCTAATCAGGATCAATGCTGTTCGCTATCAGTTTCTCTACTTGTTATAGGATTTGTTAGCGAACAGCATGGATCCTGATCAGACTGCGCGGTGACGCAGGCTGGTCTGGATCCATGCTGGTCGCAAACCCATTATGCTGGTTTTGTCGTGACGCGGCTTATTTGTAAACATATCTACAAACTTACATTCTAATCAATTTGTGATGAACACGAAACATTATTTTTTTGTTTATTTCGTTGTTTCTTGATAGATTTATTACATGAATGGTTGTAATTTAAGTCATATTCATTCGGAAACAACATTTAAAGATAATGTATTATCAATTCTAAGCATCAACCGCTTCTAGTTTAATTACACGTCTATTTATTGCCATATTTATCAATTATGATATGCATTCTGAGAGAACAAATGAAAATTTATAAAAAAAACAAAAAACAAGTTATGATGTGCATTAATACATAGGCCTTAACAGTCGCAATGGTCTAAATTGTGTTCACTTGATTGTTATACATATCAAATTAATCAACTTTTTAAAAATGTTATTATCATTCCTCTAAGACAAACACGTGACTTATATTATATTTATAGAATGTTTTTTTGTGGCACATGGTAGGAGCTGTTATCATTAACAGTTTGTCATATTGTGTTAATTAATTTTATATTGTTTGTGTATTGAATGATACACATAATATACTTTTATAATGTTCTAAGAGCACACAAACGATACAAACTCGTTGAAATATAAATGCAAAATGATAATATCATCTACAATCATTTAAATTATTTTGGCGAAGAGGGTTAATACTTAAACATAATTCTTGATTGGACATTTTTTAAAACTGTTTATCTTTAACTACACTGCCGCACTGCACGATTTTGAGTTATTAATATCTCTAAGTACTGTGGAAAATTAATTGTATGTTCAGAATTAGCGAGGTTTTACAAACGATATTTATATACGCCTAGTCAACAAGTATGATTGATCTTTTACCTTGGCTACCAAACCAAATATGATGCAAATATTTACTGCGTTTAAACACATCTGTTTAGTATTTAACTAAGCTCCTGCAGTTCAAAACAATGACTAGTAATGTTCAAAACAAGCCTGTTTCAGGGTGAAGTTTATTTACCTTAAAAAAGGATTACTCAAATATTCGTGCATGTACAATTCACGATAAAAAGAACAACAAATACAATGTTTATTGCTGTAATAGTGTTTTAAAGTAATGAATATTTAACAATATATTATTTTATTGTAAAACTTGTAAAACTGTAACCCAAACAAAACAATAACATACAATGTTTATTCTTTAAACGTATTACGTTTATTTCTTTGGGGTCACAATTGCAAGCGTTTTTCATGGTAACTGAATTTCTTTCAATAAAACTACTATTCCTAAAATACGGCAAATAATAAGTTTTGAATTTTCTGTTGCTGAAAAAATTAATCTCAATTGAGCTAACTAAGAACAAGACGTAAAAACGTTTGAAATTGATGCTGATGCAAGTTTATATGAATGTAAATTTCATTCAATTAATATATTAAGTGGTGAATGCGTTTAAAATTTTAAAATTTATGAACATTGAGTAGCCAACATATCACTTAACATACCGTTTTTTTTTCTTTCTTGCGTGTGGTAACGAACAGAGATAACATGAAAATAAATTATGTTGTTTTTTTATATATTTATTATTATATTAAAAGTTATAGTTTGTATTATGACTTAAAATGCATGTAAATTATACAAATGTACTTAAGTTGACAGAAAGATGAATATGAATAAACAGTCATTTGTAGAAGCCAAGGGCACATGCATGGATGTTTTGAAACTAAAAACAACCTTCAAATAGTAAGGAACCATTATGATATAGAACATTATATTAAGACTTAAAAATGTTCCAATTGCCACTCAGTGAGAAACGACCATACAGTGTGTTAAATATCTTTAGTCTTATACCAGTTAAAGGATTTCTTGTTTTATTGTGTTTTTTATGTTGTTGTTTTTCTTGTTGTTGTTATTTTTGCGTAACATTGTAGATCTGACAAACTACTACAGCTTAAAATGAGAACAAGAGCTAAACGTTTTCCTCTTTACTTTCTAAGATATTAAGTAATGTATGGTGGATTAACGTATACTTGTTAATGTTGAAAGTTTTCCATTTACACTTGTAGGCCAAACAGACAGGGTATGTTAATTTCAACAATATTTATTTCAATTTGTATAAAATAAATATATACAGTAAGCATATACAAACACACCGATAGATTTCGTGGATTGGAAAGCAAGTAAAACTTGATGTAAATTCCTTACTTTCAATTGAAAAGTATGCACATATTTGGTTAGAATCTGAAATCTGATTAATAATAAAAAATGAATCAATATGTTATTTTTTAGCATTTGTTGCCTTGAGTAAAAAAAATAAGAAAATATCTGTTTCAAGATTTTTTTTATAATAGATCTATTAACAAACAGTTTCTATTGCAAAATGAAATATTGTTTTAACTAGTATTTAATTACATGATAATTGACAAAAACTAAATTGTACGGATTAAGTAGGAAGCTTGAAAAGCTTTTTTAGAAACTCTCTCCGTAAAAATGGCATTAGCTCTCTGTTCATCATTTTCCTTTTGTATAATTATTTGTCACTGAAAAAATATTTACGCATTTTCTTGTTGTGATAAGATTATTTTTAATACATATAAAGAATAGAATCATTTATTAATTTGAGCCGCGTCACGACAAAACCAACGTACTGCGTTTGAGACCAGCATGGATCCAGACCAGCCTGCGCATCCGCGCAGTCTGATCAGGATCCATGCTGTTCGCTATCAGTTTCTCTACTTGTTATAGGTTTTGTAAGCGAACATCATGGATCCTGATCAGACTGCGCGGATACGCAGGCTGGTCTGGATCCATATTGGTCGCAAGCACATCATGTTGGTTTTGTCGTGGCGCGGCTCATTTTATTTTTAGTTGTGTTCTCAGACAAAGATGGGAATTAAGTACAAGCAATTTCCTGACGAAACTACGTGATGCAGCTTGTTATCCAAGCTACGACTTTCATAAACCTCCAACATAATTTATCCAATCTCACGAAACTATTAAACAAATATTGCTGCAGCACAGTATCAGATCATTAGATCGGCAAGCAGCCTCAGTGTAACAATCAGTGAAATATTGCAGGAAATTATAGGATGTACCAATTTCTATAAATAATTTAAGCTGCGTAAGTCTTTATAATTTTTCGTATTGTTGTCAGAATAAGGGTTCTTTAGAAGGGTTTTTACTTAAATTATGATATTTTTTTAACGTTAGGATAACAAATTAACATATAATTTAAACAAACGTCTTAGAACATGGAAAAGAACAACAAAATATATGTTATTGTATAATATAATAAAATTGGAACAAATGTCTTAGAATATGGAAAAAAAGATAAAAAATATATAATTATTTATAAATATACATTTGTAGAATTTCTTTTTCAGGATCATTGATTTCAATATATTTTATTGTAAATATGATGCCACTTTAGCAGGTGTATGACAGAGCATGAATTTTCCATTTTCTGTCATGAACAGGCTTGCAATGTATTACTATTTGATAGTATTTTCATTGCTCCTAAGCTGTCTGCCCATTTTTCTTTTCTCGGAAAGAATTTCGGGTTTTTCTTGGAAAGAACTTCGGCCTTTTATTTCAAACATTACCTTTCATATTCGTATTAAAGGTACTTACTTAGAAAGTTTTCAAAGTTTTCAAATATTTTAAGTAAATGTAATTTCTATCTTCTGTTATTAAAGCAATTTAATTATTAAAGAATGGCATTGAAAATTTGTTTCAGATTTTTGCTTTTTTAACAATATTCATGTTATCAAAGTATCTTAATATATCATTTATTTTCATGTTCAGAAAATGTCGATTTATCGCCCTTTTTTGTTAATATGTTTAAATTCTTTCGAAGCGTTTCTTGAAAAAAAAAAACAAACTAATTTTTAACTTTCTTTCATCCTTAAAAGAAGGTGAATTTAGTTAAATTATGTCTTCTGTATCATCAATAATTCTATCCACCAATTAATTGATCTTTTCAATGATTGTTACTTTAGCAAGTTGCATACATATTTTATAAATAAACGTGCTAAATATTTACACCGTAATTAATACTTTGTTGTTATATCACTAATGTTATAAGGCGTACTTCGGCAAATAGTTTGATTCATACTACAAAAAGAAATGAAAAAGAAAAAAATAACTTGAAAAAAATTAAAAATGTTAAAGTGATCAAATTTTATATTATCATTGATATTGTGGCACGTATATTATTTTGAAGATAGATATGATATGTATCTAATTCTAAATTAATACTTGATTAAGTACTTAACTAATGAATTAGAGATAGAATATTTTCTACGCATCTATTCAATTTCGCATGATTATCTTCTTTCTAATCTTCTTTGTTCTTTCATTTCAATTTTTTATAAACCGATAAAATGATTAATTTTTTTGTATTTGTATTGTATTTTCAGGCGTAATGGATGGTTACGGATCTTTGAACGGCAGTGTCAATTTAAGTTTGAATTCAATGCACGATCAAGATACGAATTCGTCCGGATATACGACAGAAGATTGGTATGACCTTTACTACGATGAATATAATGAATTAGACAGTATGTATACTGTAACTCCCGTGGATGTGATTTTTATTGTTCTTTGTATTTTAGGCATCATTGCAAACATTGTGTCTATTGGTATGGTAATACGATCACATCAGAAGTTATCCACACATTTAAAACTGATCATTAGTTTATGTTGCTCAGACAGTTTAATTCTGATCCCGACTTTTCTAAGTAAAGTATTTTTCATGACACATGTAATAAATGTTTGCATTAATGTAACTGTAAGACTGGTAACGGACCTGGCACTATTAGCAACATTGTTGAATCTTCTTGCAATCGCAGTGGACCATTATCTGGTCATGCTTAGACCCTTTATGCACAAGAAGCAAATGACAAGGGCATGTGCCAATGGTGTGTTTGCTGTGTTGGCAATTTGGTTCGGGAGTGTTTTAGCAATTGCGGTTGAAATAATTATGGGTCTTGTACACCAACGAGAAATGGAACCACTATGTGAAGCAATAGCGTATGATAAAACTAATTCAGAGCTCGTAATCGTGGCTATCATCTTTATTGTCTTGTTTGTGATTTTTGTGATTTATGCTAGGATCTTTATTTGGGTTGTCAGAAACAGGTCTATACATAGCAGGACGATGCATCAGCAGAAATACACAAGTAACATTAAGGCCTTAGTCACCACATTTCTTTTCGTGTTGACATTTGTATTCTTCTGGACGCCGATTGGAATATTCAACGTTTACATATACAACAAAGATATCATGTACATCTTGAACAATCTAGAGGACATCGAACAGATTGGGGATATTTTGTATGTTATTTTGTTGTTAAATGCCATAGCAGACCCGATCATCTATACGTTTAGTCAGCCACAGATACGCAAAAAATGTTGTATATTTCGTACGACAATGAGTCGACGGTCAAATGAAACGATCACATTGACATCGAATTTACCTGATTTGAAGGAACCCTTAGGTGATGATTAAATTTTGTTCCTGATTTATTTTTATCCACACTATTGCTGTTTATATACCCTTTCCTTCTAATTTAATAGTTTTTGCAACTAGTTTTGTTTTCATTTCACTTTCAATATCTTTGTACAGTTATCGCTTCTTTGTTTAATATTCTCATGATATCTGTAATTAACGTTTGTAAAATAACACATTAAATTGTACCTTTAATAGGAAAATAATTACTTTAACAAATAGTATGTTACATTTTTAGTATGTGTTAAGTATACTCGCTAATGTAATTAATTAAAACATTTCATAACACTTTCTATCAATTTCTTACAAATCATTGTCATATGTACAATTTTGTATTGGAAATGTAAATAACATTTTTGTAAATAGCTGTAGTAAGTGATATTGTTAATATGTATTATATGTATGTTTATGTGGCAATACCTTTTTATGATTGCATACATACGATAATAAATGCTATAATTATATATGAAAGAAAGAAAGTCATGTATACATACTTAGTTTAAGTGTCTCAGATCAGGGTGGGTACATACAGGAATCAGCCCATTTGTATTTTCCTTTATTTTCTTAGAAGATATATTGCATTTTTGTCAAACATTAACACATTTCATTATCCAGTGTTAGAATTATTATTTTAAGTGTCATATCACCTTTTTGCATTTAGTAGTAATGCCAATGACATGCGCATATTTAGAAAAAATAAACTACACTTGCTATTTTGCATATTAAGTCGTTTTAATAGTTATTAATAGATGCTACGAACCTTTCTAACTTCATTAATAAAAGTGTGTTCATGTTGTATTGTTGTTATTGTTGTTATTCACTCTGTTATTAGATATGAAAACACCAAGTTAGGCAATACTGTCAGTATAAAACGTGTAGCTTAATAAAATTGGCTTCGATCAGTTTAGCCGTCATTTTTTTTCACAAGAATGCATTACGTAAAAACATACACTCATAGAGACATTGCAATTTCTAGTGATAATTAAAAGTGTTATAGAAATTGCTAAAAAGTGGCATGTCAATCAAATAGTATTACGACCCCTTATTTGATTTAAAATAAATTATCTATTAATTACGCAATCATATGTCTGGAAGAAGTTTTACGATGGCGTGTTTAAAACAGATAAATATACTTGAAACACTTTATCTACACCGCACAACAACTGCAAAGTCAAATAAGTAAAAAAAAATTTTGATAAACTGGAGGTAGATTTGATATTCATTGTGAGCTTAATGATTAATAATTATGGTTCAAGATTTTTGTTTGTTTTGTTCTTGAACTGTTGTATAGAATGTCTTAGAGAAATCCATGATTAGTCTTTGATATTATTTCAAAACAAAACGTTAATAGTTTCAGGCGACATTATATCCATCCAAGTGTATAGAGTGAGTGAAGAGATAAAGGAAAAAATAAGTTAACATTTTGCTTTAATTTCATAATTTTCTTCGCATAAACGATAATCACATGGAATAAGAAAACATATGTCAATATCCATCGGAATATACATGTAACGTTCAATTTATAAAAATATTTGGTATTTGTAATATTTTGGGCAGATTTACATTTTATTTGAAACATTTTTTAACATCAATGGCTTGTTAAGTACCATAATAAAACGCAATCTTTTGAAATATATAGTCAATTAAGCACACTTTGACAATTAAAAATAAGCATAAATTCACTATAATAGTAGCGTCTCTGCTGTAAACTGTCCAAAAATATATGAGCCGCGTCATGACAAAACCAACATAGTGGGTTTGCGACCAGCATGGATCCAGACCAGCCTGCGCCTCTGCGCAGTCTGATCAGGATCCATGCTGTTCGCTATCAGTTTCTCTACTTGTAATAGGGTTGGTAAGTGAACAGCATGGATCCTAATCAGACTGCGCCAATGTGCAGGCTGGTCTGGATCCATGGTGGTCGCAAACCCACAATGTTGGTTTTGTCGTGACGCAGCTCATATTATGTTCAAAGGCTTTGCATTTCAAATAAATAACATTCCAATAAAAAAAATGAAAACAAGGGGCCACCAACAAACAACATTTGTTAACAAAATACATTTATACAGTAAAAATACAAAGCGGAGTAAATTCAAATTTTTGTATGAAATTCAAATTATACATTAACAATTGAGACTCATAAAATCACAATTACCATTACTCTGCTTCATATCTCATCAGTTCCAATGTATGATTACTTCGTTTAATATCTAATTTTACAGTCACAAAACTAGTTCTCACAACATAACACACCCGTGTGTATTTAGATCCAATCGCAATTGATTGACTTTTAAATTATTATTCTCCGCTTAAAGACACTTTAATCTCTTTTACAACAAATTAATTTGAAAATTCTAGAAACGACTAGTTATTCTTTGTAATAACTATCGTGTTCCGTTAAAATATAAACAAAAATGTGTACACATTCTATTCACACACAGTTCATGAAACAAAACGTTATGGAAGAAATCTGCAATTTCTACTAAAACTGCTGTTTCGGTCAAAGCGTTCTAAAATCAATTTGACTTCCTGTAAAATTTACAGGGAAGAAGTGAATATAAGAAGAATTTTCATTAGTCATTTTAAAACTACAAACTGAAAACTAATAATCTCATTGGAATAAAATGTAAAAGATAGTGCTCTTGCCATTCTAAAAATACAATTTTAATGGTTCTTAATAAAATGTAAAGTATAGTTTTTGTCATAATAAAATTAAATGAAAAGAATATTTTTAGAATGAAATGTACGGGAAAGTTCTTTACGTTTCTAGTTAAAATAATTTAATTGTGTTTAAATCACATAACGTGTTCTAGTGAACATTTTATCTTACATAAGAATTAACTGAGTTTATTTTACACAGTCAAGACCTTATTATGTTTTGAATTTTGTCCAAATTAACAAGACCACCAAAAACCGTTCGCTTTCCTATAACTTTACTCATGCCCATGAAAATATCAAAAAAACACACGAAAAATCCGAACTTATCAGGTACTCTCAGTTTTTTTCTGAGCTACAAGAAATCATTATGTGAATGTTACTCAATCATTGCTAATATTTCTTTATGTATAGAAAGCATAGAAAAAATCATATGTACGAGGGGTTATCCAAAAATTCGTGGACTTTTTAAATATCTCTTGGACATCAACGTGTATTGTAATGAAAATTTATCAGCATACATTTTGGAATATTATGAACACATTTTGAAAGGAACAGTTAATTATGTCAATAAATAATGATTTTATACTGCTTTTAAATAAGCACCTACACGGCACTCGGCGCACTGTAGAAAAGCGCAGTAAGTCATTGTATATTTCTTGCAAAAAAACTAAAAGAATAAAGTAGAAAACCCGCTGAACATCGCATGTTTCTTCTATGATGTCATTTAAGTAATTCTTTAAAATAATGAACGTCATTTCCGTTTATTTTTGTTGATATCGCAAAAAACACCAGGCCCCTTAATTTTTTACAACAGGAAAATGACGGACACGCGGTAATTAGAAAATCGCACGATCATAAACAATCATAAATTTTGTTGTAATTTGGAAATGACACCTACAAAAACATTTAATAAAAATCAGCAGACGAACAGAGAAAATAATATTTCACGATCATTAGTGTTAAAGTGACATAAAAATTTAGTGATGGACATTACTTTGAGAAGCAGTAACCGTCATTGACTGTGTAACGTTGACGCACAAGTTGTACGTTAATATTATGACGTTGACGTCAATAACTTTTTGGAGTGCGCCGCTGTCGCCGACATGTGTTTATGAAAAATTCAATATCGTTGTAATGTTAGAAGCTACTCACATGAATTTTTTTGTGTTTATTTGTTATTAATTCTTCTAAGCAGTGTAGGAATTCCAAAATTATATCTCAAATATATTTTACGCAACAAAGAAAGTCCACGAATTTTTGAATAACCCCTCGTAAGTTAATCAGTTTTACTTCGACCGAGTACCATTTTTTGCAGATACTTTTTGTTTGTTTTGCTCGTTTTTTATTGACGATGTTTTCATTGTGGGTGAGCTTTTTTGCATTTTAGTGATTTGTGTTTATAAAGTCAATCTTTACTTAAATACGTTAATGTTCAGATAAGGCCATAAACTTTATATAATATTAGACAAGGTGATTTTTCTTATAATAAAATACAGCTAAGCTTGATACAAAATAAAATTATATGTACCAATTGGATTGTGTATCATCATCCAGTTTAAAGCAAACATGTATAAGTGTAGAAATTTTATTTAAATTAAAAGACGTTTGTTACAAAATATACATTTCTGTAATTACATTTATGTTTAATCGAATCTGCATATGGGCATATACATGTAACTGAAATGTTCAGATGTTTCAAATGTTTTTTTTTTAAATCTTGACCAATGTACATTTAAGCCACTTTTATTCACCTGATATAACATACTTTACCGCATTATATGAAGTTGGAATAATAACACAATCATTTCAAAATATTATTCCAATTTTGTGTTCACTATTAAAAGGGCAAATTCATTTATCTTACGTAGAACACCGCTGTTAATTTTTTAGAACAGGTGAAAGAACAAAGAGTCACGTTGTACCTCATTTTCTTAATTATTTAAGATGTTTATTTTAAGCAAACAGCTTTAATTTAGATGCCTATAAAATACTCATTAACCATTCCATTCATAATTACTTGTTATTATAATTAACAGAATATTCCATGCCAATTTTGAACAAAAAAGTACATTTTGCTGTAATTCAAATTAACTCGTTTCCCACAAACCGAATTGAAAACCACCTGTCGAAAAAAACGGCTCACATTAAGAGATTTGTTGGATAATATCCTAGTATTCAACTCAGAAGATTTAATATCTTTCTTAGCACAAGTATATTAAAAAACAACTGTTCCTGTAACGTGTTATAATGGCATCTTTGCTGTTATCTAAATGTTCTTCTTTTTAAAAAACATTGATAACGCTGAATATAAGCTGACATACAGAAATCCTGTTGGTATATATAGTTGATATTTAATCTTTAAATGTTGGGAGATGTGGGTATCTCTGATTCTTCCAAAATTCAATTATACACATGATACTGTTTTTGTACAGAAACCAGCAAGGATCTTGGGAACGGGTAGGTAAAGAAGGGCTTTGCTTGGTTATTAAAAGCTGTTAGCAACTTAGGAAGCTTTTTTGGGTAGACCGAATGCTTTTATGTATATCTAAACTTGTTGGGTTGGGTGTATTTGAAGCTGTATGATTCGTTGTAAGCCGTTGAGTAAACCAGAATCTGCTTGGTACATGTCATGAATAGTTCAAATATAGGTGTCTATGTACTAAAGTATTATTTCTTATTTATTATGATCCATAAAAATTATAGAATAACTCTCTAACATAGATTATATAAAGCATCAGTTCAGAAACGCTTTCATGCAATCAGTGTCTGAACTATTCAATGGTTATTCTTAGCATCCTGATTTGGAATTTCTCTCCATCTATCAAAAGTCTACTTCTCCGTATACAAAGCAGGAAGCCAGTCATGGAAAGGTTCAGAAAACGATTTTATTCATCATTTCTGATGCTGCTCGAAAATAAATTGCTGCATTATCAACTTCAATATGATTTCGTTGACGTATACAGTATGTATATCTTTGTCTACGGTTTCATTTTTCATGTAAACAAGCATTAAGCTATATGTATGAATTTTTTTTAACATTGCCATATTTATTGAATAAACAAATATTATCGAAGCAGTCATACTACATAATCAACAATTCATACAGTTTTTTGAAACCTTTAGGTATTAATACAAAAA